AGAGAGAGAGAGAGAGAGAGAGAGAGAGAGAGAGAAGAGCAGGTAAGTCTCCAACAGCGCGGCAGACCTCATGGTACTTTTATCGATCTGATGAGCAAAATCGAATGAATCTACCGTTAGTACATGAAAATATACACTGCCACACTCCTTTTTTTTTTTCTTTTTTTTGGTGAAAATCCAATTCCCCCCACCCGTAGTCCTACATGCGCTCATATGGCAGAATGGCTCGCCTTCGGCAGATTCACGCCACATGGCGCACAGCGCATTTGAATGCGTATGAACGCGGCCCACGACCGTTTGAACGCGGGCGTTCGAACGCAAACGCGTGTTCCGCGCGTTCAAACGGTTACATAGAGACCTGATGTCATATTTACAGGTGTTGGCCCTGGTGTCAGATGGGGAAAACAAAAAAAAAAGAAAATGCCCAACGGATAATTTCGGTCTGAAATTGCTCATTTGGATTCAATTTGTCATATTTACAGGGGTTGGCCCTGGTGTCAGATGGGGAAAACAAAAGAAGAAAAGAAAATGCCCAACGGATACTTTCCCACTGAAATTGCTCATTTCGATTTGTCGCATGGCTTCTTTGCTGAAGTGAGTCTTTTTTGCCTTTAGGATTTCAAAACATGCGGCGTCCGGCGTTATGTCTCAAGATTTTATTACGGGCCCAGTGCCCAAGGCAACAATACAACAGAAAATAGTATAAAAATTCAGCGGTAGCAAGGTCTCCAACTGTCCCACCCTCAACCTCAGGCAGATCCCCTCCCCTGTAGTGATGGTAAAACCGAAAAAAAATCCATCGCAATCAACCCTACAAAATTCCAACAAAATTCCTAACAATGCTCACCAAAAATCTCGCCGTGAAATTCCACAAGAAGACATGTCGCAAAAAACCGAAAGACCACCGAAAGCTTAAGTAACAGAAACCCATCAAGAATTGCAACGGAACTGCACACTAAAGTGTTCAACCTTGTGAAAAAAATAAACCCTAAACCCAAAACTGAAAGAAGCCAGCCATGAAAAGCACAAACGACATTCCTAAAAAAAAAAAAAAAAAAAAAAAAAAAAAACGCTAATTAGAGAGCCCTAAACAGACCACACAGTAGATAGGATAGGTCGAAAGAAGTGCCCCCCCAAAAACTAACCAACCCTAATAAAATGAAATTGCGCTAAACACACCACCACACAGTAGATCCAATCCCTGTCATCATTAGCAAAAAGTGCCAAAACCCATCCACCCCCCGTTATAGCTTAGCCCTTTCCTTCTTTCTTTCTTTCTTTCGGATATAGACGGCGAGCTCCACCATGGGTGGAAACAAAACCGGTGACAGAGGTGTTTAATTCAATACCTGTGTGAGCAGTCGGAATCGCCCTCACAAGTACCAACCAAGAAGGAGTTCAACCTAAAAAACACAACAGTAGGTTCTCTACCCACCAATAGATGGAGCCTTTTGAGTAAAAAAAAAAAAAAAAACTAAAAAAGAAAACAATAAGTTCTCTAAAGCATAATTGGAGGAAAGATCCCACGCCCAATGACGTGAGAGGTGTAGAATAAGTGGGAGCCTTACGGCGCAAGTGAAATACCACTACTTTTAACGATATTTTGAAATAACAAAAAAAAAAAAAAAAAAAAGGTTTTGGTATTGGGGGCCTGAATTTTGGCCGTTTGGTACTCCATGCTCAAAACTTTCCATGTGGGGTACTACTACGGGGCGTGGCTCCAAGGGCCCTGCCGGATCATGAATCTTGTGGACAAACAGAGCAAAAGAATCATTCAACTCTAAAGGAGCCCGACGGTGGTACACCGAAGCCATAGAAATAGGCCCAGGTACGGGATCTTGAAAAACAGTGGCCGTACCGGTTCATGAATCTGGCGCAGAAACCGAGCCAGATTCGTTGTCCTGTTACAAAGATCCGATGCCAGGGGGCGAAGGCGCCTTTCACGCACGCAGGGGGAAAGTTGTTTGGGCCTGTAGTCCCAAACGGCTGAACTTTGGGCGCCCTAATCCCAAAAGGTCTCGGCGTGGGCGTTTTCCCAAAAGAGGCGTTTGTCCCCTCCGCAGCAATCTCCCAGCGAAAGGCAGCCGAAACAACAACTGCACTCCCCTGGTTGGCGTTTGTCCCCTCCGCAGCAATCCCCCAGCACCACAATCCAGCGTTAAGGAAAGGCNTTTGTCCCCTCCGCAGCAATCCCCCAGCACCACAATCCAGCGTTAAGGAAAGGCAGCCGAAACAACAACTGCACTCCCCTGGTTGGCGTTTGTCCTCTCCGCAGCAATCTCGCATCATGGCAATCCATCGTGAAGGAAAGGCAGCCAGAACAACAACTGCACTCCCCTGGTCGATAAATGACACCCTTGCGTTGAAGAAAAGAGCAAAACCACCAAATGAAAACGATATATTCGTCGAAAAACGAGGCGGCAAACAGGTTATTAATCCATAAGAGCTCCATATCTGGAGACCAAACTTGCAATCGTGCGTCTATCTTGATTATACATACAAGCAAGCCAATGAGAAGCAGCGTCGACCCTCTCTGACGAGAAAAAGCCAGGACATCTGCAACGCGCCGCACTCGCAGCAGCATTCAGCATAATCACACAGTCAGATGAAGCTGTGCCCAGTGGGCAGTGGGATCTGCACCCTCAACGCACGAGCACAACCCTACGTGAGCCGTCAGATCCGCTGGGCACGGAGACCTCAGCCATGGCTCCAACTTTTTTTTTAATTCCCCCAGGGGGAGTAGGCAAGCCTACCCATGTGACCCCTCCGTAGCCCTGAAAAAATAATTTAATATCATGTGGCCCGATGGACCACGGATCAGATATTAAACTGATCAGAACACATACACTTGATCTATTTTTAGCCAAAAGGCCGAGAAAGGTATATGGCTCCAATTTCCAAATTCCAAACGATGCATTGCCTACCGGTAGCCGCGCCCGCCCCGAGCACTGCAATGCAAGAGCACAACAGCCTTCGTGAGCCGTGGGAGAGGCCGGCCATGGTGAATTGGGGCCTCAGCGCTGGATCTTCTTGCGAGGAGCAGGACGTGCTGGAAACCGGGTCCAGAGTCCCACGATCGAACCTGAGCTACCGCTGATCAATAATTTTTACGGAAGATAGGACAGAGCATTGATTGCTCTGTTAAAACCCACTGGATAAAAAAAAAAAAAAAAAAAAAAAAAAAAAAAAAAAAAAAAAAAAAAAAAAAAAAAAAAAAAAAAAAAAAGAGCACTGGATTTTAACGGCCTAGTGGAACCGCCTGTTTAAAGATCCAATCTGACTATCAGGACGGGCAGTCTCCAAAATAATAACAACGATAAATAATATCGAAAATATTGGATTCCTTGCTTTTTCCCAAAAAAGAAAGAAGAATAAAAGTAAGTAGTAATGATCATTATATCACAAATAATAATAATAATGCATCAATGATCGCAATAATAATAATAATAATAATAATAATAATAATAAAGAGCGGCAAAATAGGAGGGCAGCTACCACATAATGCCACTGAAGGAGGGAATCCTGGGCCGGCATGTCGTTGCCTGCCAGTGCTCAGGGCAGACACATACGACGACTTTTCTTGCACCCATCTCTCTCTCTCTCTCTCTCTCTCTGTTTTTTTTTTTCCCTTCCGTTTGAAAAGCCCAGGGTGTTGTAGAGGCCGAGGACCAGACCTACGGCGATCGCTGGCAACGGCAGCCGATGGTTGTCCTGACACCCCATCTGTCTTAACATCAGGAGGAAACCCTACACCCCATCTGTCTTAACATCAGGAGGAAACCCTAAACCATCGAACAGTTCCATGAGATACCTGATCATTCATCCAACTTAGGGCGTACTCACACTAGCAGTATCTCAAACGCATATGACCGCATTTAGGTCGAGAAGCGTCTTGATTACCAAAATTGGGTGCCCCCGGAGCTGGAGGGGGGGGAGGGTGCTGACGTCTGTGGTGCAGCCTCGCTGCAAAAAAGATTACGAGCCCGAGACCGACGAATACCGCCGCAGCGCCAGCGGCAACAGAAGCTATGAACGCTGGACTGCTCGATCTCGATCCCGATCCCGATCGCGATCCGGGGACAGACAGGTTGCCGGAAGTAGGCAGTGGTGGCGTCATGGGGGAAACAGAGTTCGGCGGTGGCGATGGTGGCGGTGGCGATGGCGATGGTGGCGATGGTGGGGGTGGTGGAGATGTGGAAGAATTTACGGAATATGCTGGGAAGGGAGAAGAAAGCGGAGGTGATGGAGATCTGTTCGACGAGGAGGACGGAGATTGGTATTCAATTGCGGGAGGCAAGGATGGTGGCTGAGAGGTAGAGGATAACGAGGAGGGTACTGGAGTTGGTTGGGTTGAGGGGAGAAAAGAAGATAAGGGAGGTGAAGGGGGGGGTTGTTGGAGTGACGAGGGAGGAGGTAATGTGGGTGGTGGAGGGGAGAGCGGAGGGGGAGGCGGAGGAGACGGAGAGTCCGTAGAGGCAGGAACGGATGGTTGTGGGGGGCCCTCTGCTCCAGCTGCGCCACACCGGAGACTCGAAATGTTTACCTCAAACTTGAGCACCTCGTCATTCAATTGCAGGTATAGGTAACGGTCAAACTCTGAAAGAGCGATATGGACTGGCCCAGGGCTGGAGTCGGCCATGAGGTCCACAGCTCTTCTCAGTTCGATTACTTCCCCGTGAGGTTTGTCGAGCCTAAGCCAATGTACGGAGCCCGTCATCGACGTCGTTGGAGTCTCGGCCACAGGCAAGTTGCAGCCGTCCGATGTCACCAGAACGTCCGTCACAAACCCAGGCGAGAACGTCGCGTAGGGTTTGCTCTTATAAGTGAAGTTTCCATCGCTTCCGGCTATGGAGGAAGTAGCCCCCGACATGGTGTTCATCCGTCTTACCACCGATTTGGAGAAGCCATCAATCAAGTAGAGAGACTTGCCGTCAGACGATGTTGATCGATCGACGAACCACGGACGCTCGAACCTAACCTCAGCAGCGATCTCGCTATCGACTATTCCAGAAGGTGGGGACCACGTCTTAAGACCTGCCAACACCGTCGAAGGGGATGTGTCCAAGGCCTCGCTCGAGTTGGACGAGGGGAGTGGGATTTTGTGAATTGCCTCTTTGACGGAAACATACACGCATGCCTCCGTGGGAGACTTGGTTATCGAGATTGAAGAATTGGAAAGAAACAGCCGCTGCTCTCTAGTGTTCAGATCGAAGCTCAGAACGCGCCCGGGAATGACGACAAGCACGTGATCCTCGTCCAGAATGGCGATACTCTCGATACTGCCGATGGTGGGGGTCGGCCTCTGGTAGACGACTTCCTCGGACACATCGTACAGCATGGTTGCCTTGTTAAGCCTCGCTAATTTCACGTTGTTATAAGATGTAAGGAGCATAGTCGTTCCATTTCGACACAAGCCAATGCCGGCCGGCTGCTCAGGAGCGTAACTTCCACTACTGCCCAACGCGCTCCCGCTATATTTCAGCAGCTCCGTTGCCAGCACTCGTGCCGGCGTTGGCAGGAGATCTCGCCCTCTTGTTTCCCCCACATACTCGTCATGGACAGGTGCACGGCCTCGCTCGACCTCCTTGCCAAGCATTCCCATAAATAGGATCAGCAGCAGCAGCAGCAGCAGAAGAAGAAGAAGACTGAACAAGAGGAGGAGGAGGCTGGCTCTTCGCATGCCGTGGTTCTTCATCTTCGTTCCCCTTGTATGCACAACTTGGCCAGTAGAGAGCCGTCGAAGGCGAAGAGTGGGAGCGACTCTCCGAGGGATGGCATAACCATACCCACCCAGTCAAACAGAATCTGATACCGTCGGACGACTGGACCTGCTTCCACCTCAAGTGTTACGTACAATCCACTCGGCAATCACACTCATACCTACTTGTATTCACGCAGCGTACATCGGCCAAAAATGCCACGAATCTGATACCACAACCTAGAAAACTATCGGGATCGATCCCTCGTCGCTTATCCCTTGTACCTATGAGCGAGTCTGATACCACGATTATACAACCGTACGAGTTTCTGGCATTTGACGCAGTAGATGGGCATGAAATGCAGTTCTATATGTGAATGACCAATGAGAGAGCACTCGTACAAAGCATCCATGAGACAAACCGAGAGGAGAGAGAAGAGGAGGAGGAGGAGAAGAAGAGGAGGAAGAAGAAGATGATGAAGAAGAACAAGATGAAGAAGAAAAAGAAGAAGAAGATGAAGAAGAGCAGAAAGAGATGAAGAGACGGGAAAGAGAATCCCCCGAGCGCAAATTTGGCCGCTCAATTCAGAGGGGAAGCAAACTGCCAAGTGAAGATGAAAGTGGCACACAGTGCCTTAATCCTGAAGAATGGCTGCGACTTCACGCAGTGCGTGTCGACTATGAAAGGTCGGACGTCCACCCGCGTGATGCCATATTCGGGTTAGTGATTAGAGCTTCAGGAGATCGGTACCGGGATGGAACAGCGGGTGCCACTCTACCAGGGATTTCTTAAGCCTCGCCGGTGTGTGGAAGACTGGGAGTGGCTTCAGGAGAAGCAGAAAACAAGATCGATCTGGGCGGGGAAAAAGAATGACGGTAGCCAGGTGTCAACGTTATGTCACGGAATGTTCTTACTCGTTTGCACACCCGAAGTGTCGTAGGCATCAACCAGCCCAGATCTGGCGCATACTACCAAGAAAGATGAAATAGATGAGAAAAAGTGTCGGAGGCCCCGAAAGGCTTGTGGCCGAGGGGGTATCTATAACTTTCGCCACCAGCTTTCAAACTGGGCGAGAAACAAATTACGGTAGCCAGATATCAACTTCAGGCCACGACGTGTTCGTACTCGTTTGCCCGCCCCCAGCCCAACGTGTTGTAGGCCCTGAAGGGCTTGAGGCGCGGCGAGTATCTATGAGCCTAGCTCGTCTGCTGTCTACTATACAAAATTTTGTATAGTTTGTGGACAGCTGTCAGTCCACTATACAGCACTTTCTTTTTTTTCTTATTTTAAATACAGCACTCTGCACTACATAACAGAGCGTAGATTCTGAAAGCCTTTTGTCCTCCCGAGTACGCCGTCCAAGCTCGGCATCGTGAGTTCCTTGAAGGACTTTTCTTTGGAAACAGTTTTGCATATTGGGAATTATACAATAGGGGACAGTAGATGTCCATCCTTTTTTCTTTTTTCACCTCCCAAAAACAGAGGCTCCAGAGTAGATTACTTCTCCTCAAAGCTATCCTGAACACTCCGTCCCTTCCTGTTTGAACTGGGAGAATTTGAAGGATGCCTTGTCTCCTGCTAGTGGTTGCTAGTCCCACTGGATCAACTAGGAGGCTCAGTAGGTCCACCAGAGTCACGAATGGCTAATGAGGAAGGGAGAAGGGCCTTCCCCGGTTTTATCCTTGGTTAAGGGCCTCGCCGGATGGTACACAAAACGAAAAAAGAAACGACTTCGTTTCGTGAGTGTGTCGCCGCAGTCTCCAAACGATTCCTGTCAGGAAAAACCCACGAAAGTTGTCAGAGTTACATTTCATGAGGTTGCGCGTGTGCTCCATCCCTCCCCGCCTGTAACGCGCACGAACTCGTACGTCCTCCGCTTGTCTGGTGGAGGACCTGTGTTTTTTCACGAGTCCAGCACGTCGGTCCAAACGGTGTCCGTCCAAAAAATTGGAGCCTAGCGGGTGTCAGGCCTCGCGACGCGGCGCGAATCCTCACGAACCGATTTCGCCATAGGCTGGGCCCAGAGCCTCCAGCGGTCCTCCAATGGCCACACGGGGGTCTGCATTCAGCGCGGGTCGGCGGAGCCCCGCGGGGTGGGTTGCGCAGGTGTAACGGTTGGCTGCGCACATATGCTCTGTTTCGAAGTGGTGGTTGTCCGTAGCCCGGCCACCGAGGAAGCCATGGCAGGGACGGTGGAAGAAGATGCCATGGCCGCAGCGTCGTGTATGCTCCAGCTTGGCCGTCGTCACTCCGTGCAGTGCTGGAGCCTGGAGGTCAGAGACTGGTGATCCGGAGCTCGGCCGACGACGGAAGGTTCGGCTGATGTGTGTGACCCGTCCAACCTCCCCCCCTCCCCTCCCCCTCTCTTTGGCCAGAGCCGCTGTCAAATTCATGCCCTGCCATTCCATTTCGTCACACCACGCACAGCACTCACCTTACACGACTCCCGCCAACCATCAGCCATCCACGGAACACCCTCCCCTCTGCCCAACCATCCCCCCACTCCCCCTTCCACGCGTTTCTATCCCCTTGGCCCCTCAATGTCTGTCTCCCTTTCCCGTTGGCGGATTACGCTCTCGACGGTGGTGCGTGGTGACGGGCCATGGTAGCACCGTCCCCGGCAATATGCGAACCTCAACTACAAAAGGGCGGAAGAGTGGCACGAGTCCCGGGGAAATATGTGAGGTGCGCCGTTTGCAGTGGAGGGAAGCTATGAATCCCCCGCGGTCATGACCGCGGGGTCAATCTCGGCCCGCGGGGTCAATCTCCACCCGCGGTCTGGATCCCGACCGCCGAGGTCGGCTGCGGGCAAGGGCCGTGGTCCCGATTTTGGAACAATTTTTTTCCTATTAAATAAATACCCCCCCCCCCAAAAAAAAAGGGGGGTTGTAGGGTTTGAAGATACCTACAAGCGTGTATTTTTTGTTTTGGATTATGAAGTGTTTTTTCATTTTTAAAAAATAGAAAACCAAAAACAAGTATTTAAATCAAAAGAAACATAATTAAAAAAAAGGAATTTTTTTTTTTTCATGTGTCTGTGTGTGTGTGTGTGTGTGCATGTGCTGGGGGGAAGGGCAACCCCTTCCCCACCAATCAATCAATCAATCAATCAAAGAAAAAAAAAAAGTAATAAAAATGAAACAGTGGGTTCGACCCGCGCGTTTGTGTGTGTGTGTGTGTGTGTGTGCGCGTGACACTATGTGTGTGTATGTGTGTGTGTGTGTGTGCGCGGGGGGTAAGGGCGACCCCATCCCCACCAGTGGCACCAACCAATCAATCAATCAATCAATCAATCAATCAATCAATCAATTAAAAAAAA